CACACATTGCTAGGTGTGTCAGAACGCACGGTAGTAACACTGGTCTTGCCATGGAAGGTGCTTCTCAATGGGTGACACAATCATAAGGTTTGTTTGTTAGAGAAGTCTTTTAATGGCCATGGGAGTTGTAATGGACGTGGTATAAATAAATGCATACAATCTTTGTTATAAATAGCTCGTTATGTAGTTTTGTTTCCAAAAAATGCGACGTAACGTTAAATTTTTATCGTTCTTCCCAAAAACTTTATGCGAAATACTGAAATGACACATTTCTTACGTTATTTTGCGTTATTTCACGCTATTGTGCGTGACATTGCGCTATATTTCTGTAACGACATTTAAATAATAAAATATTTCAAAACTCGTTTTTTTAGGGTTTAGAGTCATCTTTACCGATTCATTTTTATTATACATTTTAATTTTCGATATTTAAAATTATAAATAATAAAAAGTTCATATATAGTGATCACAATTAAGGTGTAGTTAAATAAAAATTAATAATTAAAATACATATACTTAAAGTTAAACTATGATATTTTCGTTGTTTGTTTTACTTTTTACTTTTTAGTATGTAGCTTTATTATTTAATTATTATATTATGATATCCACATTAAATATTTGTGAGAAATAATTTTTAGATGTTATTTTTTGAATTCATTAAAATATTATGATAATTTTTGAACCAACCATCTAATTTTATTAGATGCAAATATATTTATAATATTTTTATAAAAAATAATTTTTTTATACTCAAATAGCTCAAGGAACACACAATGCTATTAAAGTGATGAAGTATAGACACCAAAACGCCGTGCATTACGCTATACGAGCTGCATACAATACATCCATAACAAATAAATTCATATGTATTACGCTATACGAGTTTTAAAACACTGCATACAATACATTTATAAGAGCATCTCTAATGCTCAATGTTGTAGTGATAAATTATATTCCACATCAACACAATTATAATATCACAATTTTTCATCATCCAATGTACAATGTGATCACAAATGTTGTGATGATATGAACATAATTAATGTCTACAATGTAGAGAGGAATGTGGTTCATCTACATTCTACTACACACTCTAG